AATCACCATCATCATCACAATCACCATCTTCACCATCACCAGTTTAGGGGGATACTGGTGTAGTCAGAATCACCAGTGCACCTTTAACAGATGTTAATCTGAAGTGTTGGTGTGAAGCCACCTGGATTAAATTAACAGTGAGTTCCTTGTGATTCCTCTCAGACGAGTCAGATCCTTTAACAACTCTTATTTTCAGTTTGAAGAAGGACATTAAGGCAAATATTGAATATGAATAACCAGATGTTATTTCAGGAGGGTAAATATTAATACACTACATTGACAAAAGTATTCGCCCACCTGCCTTCACTCATATGAGATTAAGTGACGTTCCATTCCTAATCCATAGGGGGACGTTGGTCCACCGTTTGCAGCTAGAACAGCTTCAAGTCTTCTGGAAGTGTGTCCACAGGGTTAGGAGTGGGTTCATGGGGTTTTCACCGTTCTTCCAGAAGCTCAGTTGTGAGGTCACATACTGATGTTGGACGAGAAGACCTGGCTCTCAGTCTCCGCTCCAGTTCATCCCAAAGGTTTCCTGTCAGGTTGAGGTCAGGACTCTGTGCAGGACAGTCAACTTCATCCACACCAGACTCTGCATCCAGGTTTTCGTGGAACTTGCTTTGTGCACTGGTGCAGTCATGTTGGAAGAGGAAGGACCAGTTCCAAACTGTTCCCACAGAGTTGGGAACATGGAATTGTCCAAAATGTCTTGGTTTACTGAAGCATCAAGGGTTCTTTTCACTGGAACTAAGGGGCCGAGCCCAGCTCCTGAAAAACAACCCCACACCATAATCCCCCCTCCACCAAACGTTACACTCGGTACACTGCAGGTACCGTTCTCCTGGCAACCACCAAACCCAGACTGGTCCATCAGATTACCAGATGGAGAAGCGTGATTCTTCACTCCAGAGAACGCTCCTCCACTGCTCTGTCCAGTGGCAGCGCGCTCTACACCGCTGCATCCAACACCGCTGCATCCAACACAGCTGCATCCAACACCGCTGCATCCAACACTGCACTGCACTTGGTGACGTGTGGCTGGGATGCAGCTGCTCCACCATGGAAACCCATTCCATGAAGATCTCTGTGCACTGTTCCTGAGCTAATCTGAAGGCCACATGAAGTCTGGAGGTGGGTAGTGATGGACTCTGCAGAAAGTTGGTGACCTCTTCACACGATGCACTTCATCATCCACTGACCCCGCTCCGTCACACAAGATGTTAAACACCTTTCTTCGTAATACAAATATCTACCATCATGTTTCTCCACCTTTTCATATCCAAGATTATTATTCTGATAAAGATTATTCTGATAAAGGATGAGAGGCCTCTCTCAGAGCAGCAGCTCCGTGCACTCCGTCCATCTTTTGGACGACATGTTCTCGTCGTCTCCCGGTGCATTGATGATTAATCTGATTCTGATCGGTTTACGTGGTGTACCACTTCGTGGCCGTCATCCCCAACACTTCCATCTTCTTATAATCCAGCGGTTAGTGGAAGATTTCACCACTGGATCTGTTGCTTGTTTGTGACATCCACCACGCCGGAGTTCACTGCGCTCCTGAGCGCGGCCCGTTCCTTCAGCAGTCTTTGTAAAACCAGTGCATGCCGAGGTGCTTCATTTTATGCACGCGTCCATGAAGTGACTGGAACACCTGGTGAGTGAATACTTTTGAAATGTGGTTGAAAACTTTGAGAAGAGGCGTTCTTCAGTTTTAGCTCCAACGTTAAATCTAGCTAAACTTTATCTCAGATTTGTGAGTAGCTTCAAAGTGTCCAAACACCTCGTTGGCACAGATGTTCCTTTCATCAGGACAAAGACGTCTGTCCTACTGGGAGACGTCCCGTCTTCTCATTACCCATTATGGATACGATACGACAGGAACCTGTGGTCCACGCCGTCTCCTTCAGGACCGTGTTCTGTTCAGCCATGCTTGCATCATTCCAGGGTTTGAGGGAGTTCCAAGAGCTTTTCTCCATTTCTGCTGACTGAGCTCCGTCTGAGGAGGAAGTGGGTCGGAGCCGACCACGTCACACTTCTGCCAGAGACAAGTCCAGACTCGTCCTTCTGTGCCAGCATTACCTGATACTAGAAAGGGGCGGTGTCCGTGCAGTTTACCAATGGTGGGTGTAAACAAAGCTGCATAAATTCATTTACATAACCCCGCCTCTCAAACGTTTAGAGGGAAAACAACGAGTTGTTGACATGACAACACGTTGTTTTTAGGAAAACACCGTTTTATTCACAGATGCAGGTTTGGTTTTCTCACACCAATGTTGCACAACACAGGGGTTCTGTTTGAAGCTGTGTAGCTGGTGGGGAACTTCCTGGTTGTCACGGCAACCACACCTCCCGTTATCCTGAGACCGATTGAGTTCTGTTCAATTATAGATACGGACTTCTCTTGGAGACGAAAGTCTGTCTTCTCAGGAAGGAGTTGATGATCATACAGTCGGTGTGTGTCGGGGGGGGGGGGGGGGGG